TATCTATCTATCTATCTATCTATCTATCTATCTATCTATCTATCTATCATCTCTTTCAGGTGTGTGTGTGTGTGTGTGTGTGTGTGTGTGTGCATGAGAGTGTGAGCCTGTTAGGGTGTTCATCCTTGTGTAAGTTCCTGGGAGCTCTGTGTTCCGAGTTGAGCATTTGTGGATAAAGCCATGTCCTACCTCTGTCCCCTTCCCGACATCTGTCTGTCTGCTTGCATCCACCTCTCTGATCTTTATCTCCATGCTTACCTCGTGTACCTGAACTACCACCATCGCCCCCTCAAGTGTGTTTCTTCGTAGCCTTGAGGACTGCAACCATTGTCTCTCTCCTAACAGGGCAGTGTTCTACTATTCAGATCCCATCACAGTGGTGTTTGTTTGTTTGTTTGTTTGTTTGTTTGTTTTGGACAGCACCCAGGCAGGCTCCCCCCCCCCCGCAAAGAGAATGCAAAAGGATTACCTCTAGTTGGCACCTAGTTTCTTTAGACAAATAGTAAACCCTTCCCTCTGTCCAGCAGGCCCCTGTCTCCTAGCCACCCCATATTGTCTTCCGCATCAATCACTCAGAGCAACAAAGGCCTGCCCCTAGCCTTCATTTCTGAGAGGGAGCAGCAGGAAGAGGAGAGGCAGGGAGTCGCTGCAGCGGGACAAAGTGGGAAGAAAGGAGGAGGAGGGGGAGGGGTCAGAGACAAGTGGGCCCTCACGTGAAGGGGGCTGGCGCAGGCAGCTACTACCTCCTCGGCTCTCGCTGTCCGCAGGCTTCACCTGGATCGGCCGGTTCATCTGCAACAGAGTAGAGCGAACAGCGTTACTGGGTGCCTGGGGCCGAAGTGCTCAAAGTGCACAAGTGCCACGCCCACACTGGCGACACACACGCCTGGAGACTAGCAGGACGACCTCCCAGACCTCCGACCGTCTTCCTTCACCACCCACTACCTCATTCTCCGAAGTCCAGTATTCCACGCGCGGCGGGGCGGGGCGGTCGGGGTGGGACGACCCCCTCTGGATTGGAAAAGCTATAGGGCTCCTCCCACTTGGATTAGCTCTCAATGGCCTGATACAATAACCTGAGGTTGAGAGCGTGCCTATTCCTTCTCTCTTCACCCAGAAAGCCCCTCCTGTACCCGAGGCACACCTGTGGTCCTGCTTTGGGTCCCTCAGTACAACTGGGTTTGCCAAGCTGGCTTTGACTTCAGGCCTGGTCATCTCTGACCTATGAGGCGGAGGTGGCGGAGGACTTGGTTCCCACGTCTATGTCTAGAGAGGAGCTCTGGGATGCAGTCCACGATGGGAGTCAGAGAGGTCCGTCAATGATGGAGTAGACACCACCAGTTTTCTTGTGCTTGTGCGAAGTAAGGTGTCAGGGCAGTAGAGCCCTGGAGGGCCTGCGCGGGCCTCTCCCTGGAACTGGTGTAATACTACATTTGGCCACTAGAGGTCTCTGAACTCCAAGCATTGTGGGTCAAACCGCTCAGGTTAAACCCCAGCACTAAGGCATGAGGGTGGGCTCTACAGCCTCGGGTTCTTGTCGTATTTCAGACAATAAAAATTATAGAAGCCACACACTGCGACGTTCTTTATGCCTTCACCATGTTTCTCCTGTGTGCCCCTCCCTGATCCCTTTTTGCAGTTGCATTTCTCTCACAAGATACAAGGAGAGCGGCAAAAGCACCCCCATTTTAAAGGCAGAGAAGCCGAGGCCTGCTTTCCCAGGCCACCTTGCGGCAGTGTCTGCAAAGGTTTTTTCTGCACTTGCCTCCACTGCACCTTAAGATCTTGTTGCCAGTTCCCCTCCCTTACAGGGCCTGGACCAGCAGTCACAAGCTGCCTCCTGACTTCCAGTCTAGGATTTGAAGTGAGTTTTGGCTGCCTTAAGACAACTGGGCGTTGGGGGAACGGATGGTTGTGACTCAGCAAGGTGAAGCTGAGGCCAGGAGAAGGGCAGAGTCACACAAGGAAGGACAGAGGCAGCACGCAGGAATTCAGAGTGAGGGCAGACAAGGAAGGAGATGCAGGAGCCAAGGCCAGCAAGACTGGCCTCTGGGGGCCAGGCTGTCCTGCTTCGCCACCAGATCGTGATTGCCAGCCCTGGAAGGGGGTGGGGAAGGAAAGTTGCTTTGCGTGAAAGCTACAGCCCCTTCAGCCACAGGAGAACTGTTATATTACAGCAAACTGCCAGCATGTGAAAGCATGACAGGGTGCTTTTGGGTCCCCAACAAAGCAGTCTTTTTCAAACTGAAGGAAGGGACGCGTCTAAAACGCCAGCCAGGAATCTCAGTCTGGGAGAGGGCCTCTGGCGCAGTTTTACCACTCCTGGTTTGCCTTTTGGAGCTCAGCACTCACTGGGGATTGAACCTAAGGCTGTGTGCAAGCTAGCCAGTGATCTAACACTGGGCCGTAGCCCCAACTGTCACTCTTTACTAAACACCTGCGATACTCCCCTCCCAATGGGCTTAGGGACTCAGTTATACCGTTTTGCTTTTTTTGTTTTTGTTTTTGTTTTTCCTCACACCTATCCCTCCAGCCTCTCTGTGCTTTCAAAGTTGACAGTTCTCTGCCGTCAGTATTGTTTTGTCTACGTCTGGCTGGGGGAACTTGAGTAGGGTGCTCCCAAGAGAGGCAGGGTCAACACTAATATGGCCACAGTGACTTCACAAGTGTTTTCTTTTTTCCACGAGTGTTTTTATTAGGGTCCCCAGCTATTTGGGGAGGAAGGGCCAAACAATAAGTGGAGAAGGCAAAATGAGAGGTGAGGACTTCCTGGGACAGGGGTTTGGGGTGGCCACATTGTATGTAATCTTGTTAGTGTAGAGGTTGCCTCCATTCCTACATCTTTCCGCCCCACATTTCCACACTTTCCTCCCTCGTGTTCATTCCTTGGGCCTGCAGTGCCCTGCCTCAATATTCTGCCATTCTTTGAGGCTGGCAGGGTCCCTGGTGTGGACTGGATTTTTGCAGCCCTCATTCATATAGTGAAGCCCTCAGTGTATATTTGGAAAAGCAGTAAGCATCTAGGGGGTAACTACAGTCAGTAGCTAATAATGGCAGGTCCCACGTGGCTGCTATCCTTATGAGACAAAGAGGAAACACAGGGACAAAGGCACACAAACAAAGGCCATGTGAGGACACAGCAAGGTGACCCTCTTCGAAGAAGAAAGACTTCGCTCAAAACCAAGCCCGTTCACACTTTGATCTAGAACTTCCAGCCTCCAGGGCAGTAAGAAATACATTTCAGCAGTTCAAACCACACAGGTATGTTGTACCTAGTAGGCCCGGCAAATGAACACACCTGGTCCAGGGAGTCTGACTGAGAGAAGGATCTTACAGGGAGTCCACCCTTTTCCACATAAAAGACATAGAATCCTCTCAAGGGGCAGGACACTTGGGCTCTCCAGGACTCCATAACTGCTATATGCATTACATTGCTAGATTATGATAACTTGTCAAGTGTCAGCCTAGGGTGTGGCAGTGTCCCACGGGCAGCAGACTTTGCACTGGAGGCTAGGTCCGGAAAGAAGGCTGTCTTCCCCTGTCCATTATCCTGTATAGGACCAGCTTTGTCAAGCCCTGATTCTACCTGAAGGGAAGAAGTGTTTGGACAGAGGAAGCCGGCCTGGGCAGAGGATACCAAGTCAGGCTGCAGAGATGGTGGGAGATGACAGGCCAAACATGGCAGAGGGAGAGAAGCCAGGAGGACACCCAAAAGAGAGGGAGAGTGAGAAGGTTACTGGAGTAGTGAAGGATGGATCAAGAGACCTGAAGGGGCACTGGCCGCCTGGCACCCTCTCGGTGGCAAACAGGCCCAATCCAGGGTCTCAGGACATTCTTGGCCCTTACTTTTCTCCTGTCTCATGAGCATCCCCTGTAAGCCATCCACACTTCCCAACAGTGTGGGACCCTGAGAAAGCCTCCACATGGCATTTTCTGAGATGTATTCTTCATTATGGTTCCTGCCTCCAGGCTCGGAAGGGGTGTCAGCCCTGCCAGAGGTGACCTTCCTTGGATCAGAAACAGCTACTCAGGGAGCTGGAGACTCCTGTGCCAGTCCTCTGAAGAGACAACTTGGGAACTGTGGTCTCTTTCCAGTTAGAACTTCAGAAGTTCTAGAACTCCTTCTTCAGAAGGAGGAAACTGGTTTGGCTTGGTTGTGGTAGTTTCCTGAGCTTAGCATAGATGGGTAGGGCCAGAAGGGAGCTGGCCTGTTCCTGTCCCTTGTCACACCTAGGTCCAACTTTGTCAAGTCCTGGTTCTGCTTTGGGGAAAGAGGTGTGTATGAGCTGGGCCATTCTCACCAGATCAGGATCTAGGGCCAGCCTTGCTCCTTACAGTGGTAGAGGGTGGGCAGACAGGCTCCTTCCCAGTCCTTTCCCTCTGGCTTTGTCTCCCTGTCCCCTGGCCCTCCCTCTATCATTCTTTGCATCAACACATAGCCATGCATTAAACAAGACATTCCATTAATTTCTTCATCATCATAACGTACGCTGGGACATACCCTTTAAATATTCATTCAGCTATGAAAACTGGGCATTAAAATTTTAATAATGTCAAGCTCATTTGAACCAGGCTCCTTGGGGACCATTACGATACAATTAGAATAAATACGGTGATTGAGCTGGTCCAAAGGCTTCACCTGTCCAGCATGGCTCTCTGCATGGGTAGAGACTGTGGCTGACCAGCAGACAGACTGACAGACAGGCCACGTTCCTTCCTGACGCCATCTCTCCTCCTGCACCATGTGTGACCTCTTCTCTGTGCTGCTACACCCGCTCCCAGGTCTCTGCTACCTGACCCCTGAGAGCCAAGGTGCAAGGCACCATCCATCTTCGGGAAGATGGCTCTGGTTAACACTCTTATTCCAGCCGCTCCTGGCACCAGCGGGGCTGCTCACCAAATTCATGTGAGTGCATGCTTTTATTTGTGTGAACTCATTCTCCCCGTCCTTTAAAGGAGTTCCTTGGACTAAAACGAACACCTTTCTAGAGCAGGGCCAGCCTGGACATCCCAAACAATCCACTGCTCACCAGAGGGAGAGGTTTTCCCCTTCTGGAGCAATGTCTTTCCCTGAAGGCTGATATGGAGATTTGGGGTGAGGCTGAGCCTTTCTGCATTCCTCATTGCCTTACAGCTGTCAGAACCCAGTTATGGAGGTGACCTAGGACTGTCCTTTCATGTACGTATCTAGCTTCTATTTCCTCGGTGACAGGGAAATCATTTCTCATTGGATCATAGGTTCTCCTCAGGAGCTGGTACCTCCAGACCCAACCTCTTGACGGAGCATCCCAGGATCACACATGCACACAAGCATTTGCGCATGTGTGATTAGTAGCACAATGTATAACTGTTGCCTTTAAAGAATTCACTTTGTTTTGGGGAATCGGGATGAAATAAGAAAGCAGAAGAACACAGGAAGTGCCCATTACAGGGCAGGCAAGATCAACCTCTCCTGCCTCTCACATCTGTGGGCAGAAATAGGCCTGCAATGTAAGGCTTATAGGAAGAGGTGTGGTTGGCCTGATTTCAAAATTTCTGTGTTAGCAATCTTTGAGCCCCAGGTACTTCCTGGGTTGCAGGTGAGGCCCACCAGAGACAAGTGATCCTAATGTGTGGTCCCTGGGACATGATCAGCACTGGTGAAGAGGCACAGACTGTTGGGGTATGACCAGCCATGTCACAGCGCAGCCACCTGGGCTGTCACAAGATGAGTATGCACACGGCTGATTGGCACAGACGATACAGATGTGTGGAGATCGGTGTGTGGAAAGGGGACAGCCTTAGCGTGAACA